TTACGACTGAACGGACGTAGGAAACAGCTGGCGGTAAAACCATCACGTCCCCAGCTCGATCAGGAAACTAAATCCGTATTTGAGGAAGAACTAGCTAAACACATATCTGTGTTCGACAGCTGTGCTCACCCTGAAGAAGCTTGGAAAAATATCCAGGCAGCCATAGATACAGCTGTAAAAGCTGTGAATAAGGTAAACCCAAAGGTGAGTAAAAACCACTGGATCTCCACCGCCTCATCCGAACTGATAGATGCTAGAAGACTTATTCCGGCGAGCTCCGAATTCAATGAGGAGCGAAAGCTGCACAAGAGGAAACTTACGAAAAGTCTCCGCAAGGACCGTGAACAGTGGTGGGCGACAAAAGCCAAAGAGATGGAGAAAGCTTTGAGGATAGGCAACACCAGGCAACTCTTTGGACTCATCAGGGAAACGGGTGGGAGAAGACAAATCATTAGTGAGACAATCTCGGAAAAAAATGGCACTATAATTAGCTCCAGGATAGACGACTGGATCGTTGGAAAGAGCATTATGAGGAGCAGTTTAATTTGCCCACAGCCACGCTCAACCTTCCGAGCATCCAACACCTCCCTGAATGGGATATAGACACAGGTCCTCCGTCACTAACTGAGGTTACTAAAGCTGTCACCAATCTGAAACTAGGCAAAGCAGCGGGACCTGATGGAATGACTCCAGAGGTATTTAAGTACGGTGGAGACAGCTTACTGTCCGGATTAACTGAGGTACTAGGCAGCGTCTGGGAATCAGAAGAAGTCCCATCGGGTTGGTGTAAGTCACTGATTATCCCCATATACAAGAAGGGAGACAAGTCTTCCTGTGATAATCACAGAGGGATTAGCTTGACTAATATAGTATCTAAAGTCTTAGGCTCAATAATCATGCGTAGACTGAGTGGTGCTCGGGAAGCACAAACACGAGAGAGCCAGGCAGGCTTTAGACCAGGAAGAGGGTGTATTGATCATATCTTCACCCTCCGACAGATTCTAGAACATAGGCATTCCTACCGGCGTCCAACAGTCATTATATTTCTTGACCTAAAGGCAGCATTCGACTCTGTCGATCGGGAAGTTCTCTGGAGATGCTTGGCTGTAAAGGGAATTCCAAGAAAATATATTGCACTGATTAAGGCACTCTACTCGTACTCATACAGCCAGGTGAGGGCTTACGGCGAGCTGTCATCTGAACTGATGACGACCAGTGGTGTCCGTCAAGGATGCCCATTATCTCCTTTTCTATTCAACTTCATCATAGATGTGTTAATGGACTTAACCCTAGGTGACTTCAGCGACTCAGGGATTGACTTGCTACCGGGAATAATCTCGTTGACTTGGAATATGCAGACGATATAGTCCTTCTAGGCGAAGACGCTGACGAAATGCAGAGTCTTCTAAACACCTTGAGCCGCAATCTACGAATGTTTGGCATGCGATTCGCTCCCGCCAAATGCAAGATGATGTTACAGGACTGGACTACATCGACGCCTAGTTTAAAAATAGGAAGTGAAGTGGTAGAGCACGTTGACCGCTTCACTTATTTGGGAAGTACCATCAGCCCCAACGGGCTGATCTCTGACGAAATCTCAGCACGAATACAAGGGGCTCGTTTCGCATTTGTTAGTTTACGCCGACTCTGGCGTAGACGAGATGTTCGACTATCGACCAAAGGGCGGGTGTACTGCTCATCAGTCCGCTCCGTCCTCCTTTATGGTTGTGAGACCTGGCCACTGAGAGTGGAAGACATGAAAAGACTAGCTGTCTTTGATCATAGGTGCCTGCGTTCTATTTCCCGTGTAAAGTGGCATAATAAGGTGAGCAACATGGAGGTTAGGCGTAGAGTTCTAGGTAAACAGGGGAAATCAATCGACGAAGTCGTGAAGCTACAAAGACTGAGATGGTTAGGACATGTGTTACGTATGCCAAGCCATCGCCTCCCTCGACGAGCAATGTTAGCGGATATAGGGTCAGGCTGGAAAAAAGCTAGCGGCGGTCAAACAAAAACTTGGCATCAGTCAATGAAATCCACAACAGTTGGTCTAAGCCACGTAGGAAGGTGTAGACTTCCAGGCTGGGGTCCTCGGGACGGTAAAAATCTATGGTTGGAAACAATTGGTGACATGGCTCAAAATCGTTCTCAGTGGCGCAGATGCATCCACTCCCTGTGACTTATGATCTTCAATGAAACTGTTTTGTATTTCTTTATTACTCCTTTGTCTCACACCTCTGCTCACTGTTTCTATTATGCTTTTCTTGTACTTTCTTCTCTTGCTTCGCGTGCTACACGGAATGTGGCGACTTGAACTTCCGCACATTTGTGCAAAGTTCTATGTCGAAAACAGACAGACAGACAGACAGGTAGGTAGGTAGGTAAAGGAGGTTGTTTCTTTCAGGTTCCTCCCATTTATGCTGGCTGATTGTTGTCTGTTGTTGTTTTTGCTGTTGGTGTTGGCCAGGAATCTTCACCACCTCTGTTTTACCTATGTTCACTTGAGGTGAAGTCCTATCTGTGATGCTTCTTCTGTCAACTTGTTGCTTTTCACTTGTATATCTTCCAGTTTGTGGGAAATCAGACATATATCATCGGTGAAGTCCAGATCTTCCAAGTTTTTTGTTTGGGTCCATTTTATGCCTGTTTCCTCATTGCCCGTTGTCTGTCACATTATCCAATCTACCACAATCAGGAAAATCATTGGAGATAGTAAGCAGCCTTGCCTTACTCCCGTCTTCACTTCGAAGGATTCTGTGAGTTTCCCATTGTGGATTACTTGACATGCAGCATTGTCGTACAACTGTTGGATGGGATGTATAGTCGTCGATGGGACCCCACAGTAGTAGCGAAGTAGTTGCCAAATCACCTTTCGATCGACGCTGTCGAAGGCCTTCTCAAAGTCGATGAAGTTGAGATAGAGGGGTGACTCCCATTCCAAGCTTTGTTCAATGATGATTCGTAGTGTGGCGATTTGATCAATACATTACTTCTTACATAGTCATGAATAATCCCCATCCAGATAGTAGCGAAAACAAAACACCTAGAGGCTGTTTACGGAGAATTCATTTTCCTCTTCAGCTGCACAACTGGACTTATATACAATCTCATTTTCCATGGAAGAGGGAGGGTAGTAACAAAAGTGATGTGTTGTCATAATCACATTGGTTAATATTAGCCAATGCATAAGATGAGTTGAATAAGTGTACTAGGGTAACTTAATAAGTTGGATGATTGATTGATTAAGTTGTAGTGGGGAGTGAATTAACAGCATGTCAACAGTGGGAATTCCAACTTCATGAACGTTTCCTCCTTCAAAGTAATCTACAAACTGAAGAATAACCTGCTCCTTTGTATTGCTGAAACTTAAGCCATTCAGTTAGAGAAACAAGAGCTATGCATACAAAAGAAAATTATTATTCATCCACTTCTACTATCATGGTAACAAACTTGTTGGTTTCTACTGCCCTAACCCCGAACCCTACAACAAATATGAAAGAACAACAATTGTACCAGGATAACATGAGCTCATCTGCTTTATTATTTCGAGGATTCTTCTCAACTGGTGGTTACGACCTGAACGATAAAAAATATGAATTACATTAAAGATTTGAACATACTTTTCCACGATCACAAGGAGTAATTGTACTGCCCTGGTGATAACAAAATATAAAAATTCGTGACCAGTAGGTTGCAGCAGGTCGGGTGTGAGGACAAATACTCGCCATCGAAGACACTGGCTAGCGGTTGCGCTATATCGTGAATTGGCAGAAGTTACAATTCATGCACTGGTCATTGGATCGGGTCCCAGTGGGTTAATGGTATACGAGCTCGCCTTGTAACCAGAAGGTCCTGGGTTCGAACCCCGGTGGATGCGTACTGCTGAAGAATCCCAAACTAGGGCGAAACAGCTGTCCAGTACTCCCAGGTTTCTCCAATGGTTCCCTTACTGATGTCAGCTCATGATGAAATCCTGTGACCAAATATACTCTCTCATCTAAACATGACTTAACCTACTTTGTTCTTTTCTTCTTTTTTTCTATTGGCTTTTAAATAAAACACTTTCTTTAGTTACGTAATCCGCTTTTTTGTTTTGCTCTTTCTAGCTAAACTTTGTTTCTATACACACATATATATATATGCAACTGTTTTTCGTTTCCGAGCCTAATTGTCTAATTGTTCTATAAATAGTCAGTGTTTACAACTCTTAATTAGTTAAATCATTCCGGACTAATGTTACTTTTACTTTCTACTAATTACTCCTTATGATCGTGGAAAAGTATGTTCAAATCTTTAATGTAATTCATAATTTTTATCGTTCAGGTTGCAACTAGTTGAGAAGAATCCTTGAAATAATAAAAGATGAGCTCATATTATCCTGGTACAATTGTTGTTCTTGCTTTGTTCAAATAGGAAAGAATACAGACTTGTAAATCTACCCCATAAAGACAACCCCATCTTTGGTCAAACTTCAAAGCACAGAAAAAAATAATAATAACATGGTGATGTGTAAATAGATAAACAATAGATTATCCTTTATTGATGATATGGTGATCAAAGTCAGTCCGGAAATAAACCGATCAGAATCGACCGACGCAAAATAACGCCCAATATTTTATCTATCATGATAATAGACTAATTGACATAACCTTGGTGATTTTTTTGTGAAAAATATACTATGGCTGACACTTGAAATATACTTTCGGCTCATGTCGTTGTGTGTTCTCGCCTACGTAGGTGGGACTGGGGAATAGGACAAGGTAAGGTGTCATTAATCTTGACCTAAACGGATATGTTCTGAAAACGAACAAAAGTAGAGACCTGGTTAACTGAAATTTTATTTGTGAATAAACTACCAACGTTTCTGCGTGCAGTTAAAGTCACCTTTCCAACAGTTGAGATAGTTGTGACAATCCGTCCCGAAAGAAAAAGAATTTTAAGTGAAAGAAAAAAATTAAACAAAGAAAAACAAATGGAAAAGTGAAGAAAGTCTAACATACCGAAATCCCATTCACTGAAACCTGGAGAGTCAGCACTGTGCCAGTGATCACCTATATGACACATTCCTTGTTGACATGATTCACTTCCTGAGTGTTCTAAACTTTCATCAAAGTCTGATTCAGTGAATGGATTTTGTGATGAGCTGCATACTTTACCATCTGCTCTCCAATGTCTGTTAGCAAGGACACGCCCACGCCGACGATTAAGCAGATAAGCCTTTAAACGTTGTTTAACCTGAAAGAGAGAGAAAGAAAAGGAAAGATTTCGGGTTATGTAAAGAAATGTCTAGCGAACTAACTTTAATATACTCCATTATAAATAATACTAAGTAAATAGTACACGAAGAGTAATATATGAAAAGCTTCTGAAATTAGGCTCGGACATTGGATAATGCGACAGACAACGGACAATTAGGAAACAGGCATAAAATGGACCCAAACAAAAAACTTGGAGGATCTGGACTTCGCCGATGATATATGTCTGATTTCCCACAAACTGGAAGATATACAAGTGAAAAGCAACAAGTTGACAGAAGAAGCATCACAGATAGGACTTCACCTCAAGTGAACATAGGTAAAACAGAGGTGGTGAAGATTCCTGGCCAACACCAACAGCAACAACAACAACAACAGACAACAATCAGCCAGCATAAATGGGAGGAACCTGAAAGAAACAACCTCCTTTACCTACCTACCTACCTACCTGGGAAGCACCGTTTCAACTACAGGCGGAACTGAAGAGGATATCAAAGCCAGAATCGGAAAAGCAAGACAAGCTTTCATTACTCTCAAGTCTGTATGGAGATAAGTCAACAGCACTCAGTATCAAAAATAACATCCGGATTTTCAACTCTAATGTGAAGTCAGTCAGTACTACTCACTGTACGGATCAGAGACTTGGCGCGTCACATAGAGAACCACAAACAAACTACACACCTTCATCAACAACTGTCTTCACTCAATACTACTCAAAATTAGATGGCCGGAAAAGATCAGCAACGGGTTGGGATCTCTAACAATGAGCGACCCAACCAGGAACCGATTGTGAAACAAATAGGCAGGAAGAAATGGAGATGGATTGGCTGGCCATAATCTGAGAAAACAAACCACCAAGTGACATCACTAGACAAGCCATTGCTCGAATGGAACCCGAAAGGGAAGCGGCGAGTTGGTCGTCAGTGCAAGGGTTACTTTGAGGAGGTCATGTGAAGAAGAGACGAAAGCGTGTTGGCAGACGTGGAGCGAGGTAATAAAAATGTTGGCAGATAACTGAACGCAATGGAGACTTGGGCAGCTGAAGCCTTATGTTCCTCTAGGAATTAAAGGAAATAATAATAATATTCCACCACAGTCAAAATATTCTAGATTTCGGTGAAGAATTGATGGATTTTAAAGTAGACTGCCACAGAAAACCGAGTAGCATTGAAAAGCATGAAACTTAGATCGAGCAAGGCTTCCAAGCCTATTACTCCACACATGCTATTTGCAAACTCGACTGATAAAATTCAATCTGCACAAACACCAAGGACTAGACGCAGGACAATAGTTACTGACTACCTACGTAGTGTCCAATCAAAGTATCCATTACAGTCCCACAGGGAGATAATCGTGAGTCCGAATAGAAGCAATGGGTAACCCAGGTTCAAACCTCAGAAGGGATATGAGTTGTTCTTTCGAAATTGCAGATACGCTTTTCTGACTGGTGAGTGCCAACAAGCACGAAACCTACGTCGAGCAAGGCTTCCTACCCACTACTGTGCCTAACTACCTAACAACAGATAGCTATTGATCCCATTTTAGGACTACTCAGCAATGCTCACGCAGAATAAAAATGCGAGCGTTAATGATACTAGTAATAGTAGTAATACAGGCAATGTTGCCCTCATGAATTAATCCTTCATAAATTTTGAGCATACCGTTATTCTACATATTTTATTTCCTATCCTCATTAACATCTCTTCATTTCACTAACATTTTACTGTCATTCCAAGTTACGTAATTTTCGTCTTATGTATAGCACACAATGACACATTATTCCCAAATGACAAATAAAAATGCACCTATTATAAAATTATACTTTACCAAAGTATTCAAGTTTCTTTGTAATATTACGGATATCATTATTTTATTTATTTATTTTTTGAAACAATATTTTTGCCATTTTTATTTCTGTTACTATGGTGATGTGAGGCGTTTCAACTTAGTCTGAAAATTACAATTATGTCTAGCTCCATGGAAATGTGAAAATGTAGGATACATTAGAAAACAAAGGAATGTAAGTATACTAAGTACTTAGCATGCATTAATACTAACATGTAGATCATGGCTAGTGAGAGAGAAAAAAGAGCATACTTTGGACTGATAAGAAGAATTAAGAAGATCTGAACATTGCTGATGATTTCTAATGTTTAATGTCAGACAAACTCGAAGATCTACAGGCGAAAACCAACAAGTTGGCAGAAGAAGCAACCAACAACAAGAACCAATCATCCTAAATAGGAGGAGTTTCAATGAGATCACTTCCTTCACTTATTTAAGCAGCATCATTCCAACTACAAGTGGTGCGGATGAGGATGTCAAACACACGGCCAGAAAAGCAAGAGAGACATTTGGTTATTCTGAAATCAGCTGCGGAAATCTGCTGCAATCAGCAGAGAAGATTCGGATTTTCAACACTACTATATTGTATATATATATATATATATATTTCTCGCACTAATCAAGGCACTCTACTCGAATTCACAAGGCCGTGTAAGACCTTACGGAGGGTTGTTGTCTGAAGTGATGAAAATTGGTAGTATTCGTCAGACACACCCACTGTCTCCATTTTTGTTTAATTTCATCAAATAATGGAATTTACCCTATCTGACTTCAGCAACTTAGGGATTGACTTGTTACCAACGAACAGTCCTGTTTACCTAGAGTATGCCGATTATATTGTCCTCCTAGACGAAGATACTGGCAAAATGCGGAGTCTTTTGCACACCTTCAGCAAAAGTTTTAGTATGCTTGGTATGCCATTCACCCCTGCCAAATGCGCAATGGTGCTGAAGGGCTGGACTACACACCGACTCCTAGCTTAAAGATAGGGAGTGAAGTGGTGGGGCGTGTTGACCACTTCATCTATTTGGAAGTTGCATCAGCCCTATCGGGGTGATTGCTGGCAAAACCTAAGCAAGGAGACAAAGGCTCGCGCAGCACTTGTTAACTTACCCAATCTCTGGTGTAGACGTGACATTCGGTTATCGACCAAAGTAAATGTGTACTGCACAGCAGCAGTTCACTCCATCCTCTTTTATGTCTGTGGGATGTGGCCATTGAAACTGAAAGATATAAGGAAGCCAGATGTCTTTGACTGAAGGTGCTTGCATTCTATATCCCGAGTCAAGTGGTATTATATGGTCAGTGATGTGTGAGTTAGGCATAGACTGCTACGTAAGGAAGGGAAGTCAATCAATGAGGTTGTGAAACTACACTGAGTGAGATGGCTAGGACGCGTGTTGCGCATTCCGAGCCAACCTCTTCCTAGTCGAGCAATGTTAGCTGACATAAGGTTGAATTGAAACATATTTAACAATAGTCAAACCGACACATAGAATCAATCCATAAAGTATTTCACAGTTGGTTTGAGCCAACTGAAGAGGTGTAGACTTGTAAGGATATTTTGGATGCTGTGATAAATCAGTGCCTAGCAACTGGTGATGTTATGGCTGAAAACAGTTCACAACCGCGCAAATGTATCCACTCACTCTTTATGATTTCCCGAATTCACTAAACACAGTTTTCCATCCTACTACTCTCCCCACCGTCTATTCCTGTTCATTACAGTTTTGTGAATCTCTTCTTCCTCTCTGTTTCCTACCTCTGTTTACTATACGGAGTGTGGCAACTTGAACTGCTTCGCTTCTGTGCAAAGTTCTACGTTGAAACTCAGTCAGTCAATGGTGGAGTAACAGAAACCAGAATGAAATTATAAATATTTTAATAATAAATTTCGTTCTACTGACAAGAAAGTAAAAATATTTTAAATGAAACGTAATTTTTTTATTTATGCATTAAGTTAGGAATTCAATGGATGCATTATTTTTGAGCAGAAAACCAAATATACTAAACCTAAAACATACATCTTCCACTTATACTTATCGTACAGCAGAAACCACATTGAAAACCTGAAAACTAGTGAACTTACTTGAGTTGAAGAAAGACGACCCTCACCACCTTGGTCAAAAGATGCCTGACGTGAAAGAAATGCAGAACGAGATGGGTTTGATGACGCTGTCGAATATTCGGGAGATGTTCGTGGTAGTTGACAACTAAATGTACTTGGCGAAGAACCATCAGATGACCTTATAGGTGCATACGTTCCAGTTGACGCACCTTTGGGAAATGGTGGATGAGCAGCATGATCACCAGATTTACTGGTTATTTCTACAAGAGAAGACGTAGATTTCAGAGCCCCAAGTCTTCTGTTGGATTCTTTGTGATCCATTCTTACACACAAGTGATTAAGATGTTTTAAACAGGCACAGAAGTCTTTTTCACCGTTGAAGCTATTAAAGACAAAAACGGCCAAGTTATACACGTACACTAAACATTTTACGTACATATTGACTAATAACAAAGTCACTGTGTCCCTCAATTGTCAACAATTAGTGGGATGGTATTATGTGGAAAACACAGTGTATAACCTGACCTTGATGTTGTTCAGAAGAGTTCGAAAAAAATATGGAGGTAAAAACTAAATGACGTAGACTAGAGTTGATATTAGTGTATTTGAAGCTGAACTTTACTACAACCTAATAACACGTCTTTATAACTACTATTTCTTTTGATCTGTGGTGTTTTACGAATTCTATTTGTGAAAATAGAATGGAATTAAATGTTAATTTCCAGGACTTTCGTCAGATTGGGTCCAATTTATTTACAGATCTAAATGGTTTCAATAAGGTAATAAAATGTAATTATTGAGCAAACATCATACTACAACTCACAATATAAAAATCTATTCCCTGAAGCAAGTGTGGAACAACTCTTTTGTGGGCCAATTTCATAAAAACCACAAAACACCCAGAATGTACTTGACATTCAATCCAAACAATTCACTTTACAAACTAATGACTCCATCAAAGGAATAAATTTAATTTCAACACGAACACCTAACGTGTTCAACCGAGTTTGTAAACGTGTCTCCTTTAAACTCTCGGTTAGTCAACACTAAGTGCGGGTGAACATACAAACTGACAATGTACACATAACGGTAGCTCTGTCGACTCAAGATAAAACAAAGAAAAATTAGTCATCTCATTTGTATATCAGCCACCAATATGAAGTCTTACTTGATGACTAAATCATCACAGGGTTATTCAGGTTTAAGCTACATTAAAACTCACATTTATGGTTTCAAGGGGATTATTTTAAAAGGTCCTGTCATGGCTAGTTATTCTATTAGTTGTCATCACAGAAAGATTAAATTCCAGCCAAGATATCGGATACCCAGTACAAACTATGTCTCAAATTTAGTAACATTTCTTTTCGTGCAATAACACAAAATTCAGTATATGAGGGAGTATTTAACCCCTGTATATGAAGAAACGACGCAGCATGTCATATTAAGATATCTACAGATTATGCATCACAAATTCTAAAAAGATTTCCAGTCAGTACACAAAGACAGATTCAACTAACCTGAGTGATTATTCCAACGCATATCACTGAAAAATTATCTTTAGACACGGGCACCAAAGTATTCACACGATGCTAACTCATGAGACAATATTGTGAACAGATTCGCACATTTTTTAAGTAGACGTAAGGAAATGAGCAGTGAAACTAGGTAATAAGATTAAATTCACTTGGCAAAACAACCTACAGGATAACAATAAAATAGATTTCAGATTAGCAGTAAAAATTAGGATATATTGCATAAAAAAGCAGTTAGTAAAAAAGGAAACTACGTGAATAAATATAACGCTCCGATTCATGTTTACAGCTAATCGACTACACATTACACTTGGAATAAACCCGACTTACATCTGTTTGCTCCAAGCTAGGCGCCTGTTTCAAGGTCACACAGTGAGGATGTTGTTACATGCTAAAACAAATAGAATGGCTAGTATGATACGTCCAACTATGTGGTATAAAAATAGAGATTACAAGATTTCCGCAGTTTGGATTCGTTGACATTGGGTAATTTTTATTGTAAATGAAGTAAATTAGTTATGTTTTCTTGACATTCCTCCTGTGTACATCTATTGATCTATCGAAAGATTGTCACCAAATGTTAAATAATAACTACGAATTTCCTGTAATTTCATATTACTTGATAACTGCCAACTTACTGGTATCTGCGCTGCAGGCCTTATGAGTGGCTGCGTGTCATATCGCATTGAAGGTTGCTTTAGACTCACCTCAAGACAACCAACTTCGTGCGGTATGCAAACAGATGGTGTCAATGTAGTTGAAGATTTAACGATCAATTCATAGTTGCTTGCTCAAACCCAACTTCCCCATATTTTTGGCGGAGTCATCAATCCATCAGTCATCGTCTCATTAGTCGCTGTTCAGAAGGAAGATTGAAAAACTATCAGAAGTAATATCGTGAATTATTGTTGAGATATTTGTTCTTAGATCTTGTTCTGTAGAAGCAGTATTGCTGGTTATTTGTTGGCGTTAGGATAAAGAATTCTTCAGTCGCCAAACAGCGCTCTGGTTTCTGCGTCGGTTAATACTAAGTGTTTCTGCAAATCTTCGAGGGACGGTGTCAATCACGTCTCATAAACCGTTAATGACCAGCTCTTGCTACGCTCGGGCCCACGCAGTTCTTCGAAGATTTCTCAGAAACGCTTAGTTATAACGGACGAAAAAACCAAAACACCGATCTTCCGATAGATATTTCTGTATTGTTACACCAACATATAAAAGGAATAAGCGAACTAAGGTCTGTGAACAAATATTACAATAATAAATCATAAGATTACTTCTGACGATGTTTCACTATTCTTTCTGAACAGCGACCGATGAGACGATGACTGTCGTATTGATGCCTCCGCGAAAATTGGGGAAGTTGATTTTAAGCAAACAACCAAGAATTGATCGTTCAATCTTCAACTCCATTGACACTCCCCGGCAAAAAAGGGATCCAACCCTTTTTTCCTTCACGACCAATGCACGTTGACTTGGATGCCATTGAGAGAACCTGGGTCACACGGACAGAGCTGAAATGGAAAACAAACAGAAAAGCCAACACACCACAAGCATACCCACAGCACAATCTCACACATCAATGACGACCTGCGCCTCCAGACAGAGACCTCCTCTTGACATCTTGCAACACAATCGCCACTTGCTAGAATGACTCTTGCAGAATGCAAAGTGACCATGGCAGCACCTCACGATACTCTACGCACATCCTCTTAATTACTCACTACCAATTACCATTGAAATCGCTTGTCACTCATTCTGCCTCAGTTCTAGTAGCGGTGACGCATGCGAGCCTCAGTCGTTTACACTCTTTCTCCCCGGCGTGTCGGACCGCAGCTAACAATTATCTCCGTGTGCGTTTCATTCTCAGCAATAGCCTAGCCTCCCCGGCGTATACGACCCATCTGCTGTCTCTAACATCAATCAATTCATTCACGGATGTAGAAGACTCGAAACAACTTCAGAAGTAATCACGACGAAAATTTTAACAAAATTACGCAATAAAAACAAGGCACGAAAACAACGAGTAAACACAATTAATCCAAAATCACAAATTGCGAAGACACACCACACGTATACACAAACAGTACAAATAACCTCGCGGATCATGTCTTGGTGGAATTATTTTGAAGAATTGGAGGACTTACACCAGTACGCCTGCAACCCTTCTCAGGTTGACGATTGTAAGTTGTGGAATGTCCAGACACAAACAAGATTAACCAACAATTACATCAATTGGAACTCACACAACTATTTAACACAAACATATGTACAATCAACACATCAAATGTTGTGGATTCTGACACGACAAACTACCCTTGAAGAACTGTAGGACTTACAGCAGTACGCCTACATTCCTTCTCAGGTTGATGATCCAAGTGGAAGTCGTCCGGACACAAACAGAATTACCAACAGCTAGATGACAGATGATATCAATTCAGTATATACAATATGAACATATGTACAAAATCACACACCAAGCACATTGGACTGCTCATTGATGCGCTACCCTTTGAAGAACTGTAGGACTTACACCAGTACGCCTACAACCCTTCTCAGGTTGACGCCCTAGGTTGGAAAATCGTCGCAGAGTTCATTTGCTAACTTCCTTCTATCAGCTATATCCTCAAATCTGAACGGCAACACGCCCATGTCATTGTATCGTAGAATATAGATGACCAACAAACACACGACATATCTCATCAACCAAGTGTAGAAACAGAGTAATTTACACCAAAGATAATAACATTCAAATAGTAACTTGAAACTAGAAATGCCTTTATTCGTGCAAGTCAATTTAACAATAACTCTCTCCTTTACACTTGGCTTATCCACACTAAACTGACCATTGATATTCGTCCTTTCAAACGAACTGATACTACCATAGTCATTGCACAAGATACTTGAGTTGATGGGTGTCTGTTTCATTGTGGATGACAGCACCAACGATGACTGAGTGACACAAGGTGATGAACTTAGTGGTGGATCAGAAGCTGTTCTTGTTCGGCTCTCAGATAGTTGTCCAACTGCAAGATTACCACCACTGCTGTCTTTCACTACTAGTTCGGGTTTAGCACTATCATCTGATGATAGGTGGGCTACACGCTGATCAATTACACTGACTGTCTCACAAGTATGCACACCTTTTGGAACTGCATCTGCGTTCAATTCTACTTCACGTTGTAGTTGTACAGAACCTTTATTTAACTTAGCAGTAGTAGGCATATCCCTCATCTCATCATGATCAACCAAAGACAACTGTGAAGTATCATGATCATTATCACGAATATTCACTTTACCGTCAACTTCATCATTTTCAAACTCTTTAATAACAGAAGTAGACAATTTTGGTTCCTCCTCGCAAATCATAAAAGGTTTTATATCTTCACTCTGACTAGTAATACCTTGTAAACTTGTAGGGTCAGAACTGCACTCTGAAGCAGCAACTCTATTCTGTGACACTCTATTCAACAACGGCTTACCAGTTGCAACTACAGACTTCTTCACCGCACCGTTATCGTCACACAATTCGGAGTCATGCCTGGAGTTTACATTTAGCTTATCACTGAACTTGCTCACTGGTTCACAGTTCACTTCTGTATGCACCTCTTGCAAACGTGTAAAACAAAACCGTGTTTGTCTTGCATCTTGTAACTTATCTGTTGAGGATGTACTACGAAACCTGTTACACTCACTAGGTCTATATGCATTACTAGACATCATGGAGCCTTCTCGATATCCACCTCTCTGAGGCCCTTTCGTCATCAATGATTGCGTTTTACCCTCAGACTGCTCTATTCTAGGGGTGAGATTCAATAGACTGGCGAACTTGCTCATAGATTGATTGACACTATCATTTACCAGTTTCAGGATATCATCAAACTTTGGCTCGATACCCTCATCCTCCATACGGGAGCTTATCTTCACCCACTTCCTTTGCAGTCGAGTAGGTAGACGTCTTGCTATTACTTCTAGTATAAAACTCGAGTTGAGGTCACTCGTGCGATTCATCGAAATCATTCCATTCTTGTAAATTAGCAAATTATCTAAAAACTCAGTGAGTGCCTTGGAGTCATCCTGTAATTGACCACCATTACCCTTAACAGCCTCGAATAATTTCCCTGCAATCATCGAAGGTCTTCCAAACCTTTGACGTAATATGCTCATAGCCTCGTAGTAGCCCTCTTTTGGCTTCATAAACTCACAGCACTGTATAGCTCTTGCAGCATCTCCAGTGCAATATCTCATCAAATACATTAACTTCAATTCATCACTTAATAGAAAACTACTCAACATGATCTCAAACTCCTTTACAAATTGTAAATAATCAGCCGGGTTTCCATCAAAACACCGTGGTTCAAATTTAGGGAGTTTGATGTTCCTATTATCCCTGAACGGCGAAACAGTAACATCAAGCATGTCATTCTTAACATCAGACACTTTCCTGTTTGCATCCACGACACTCTGTCCCTTCTTTGACCCAGGCATTGTTGAACTTGACCCAATACCAAAAAAGTTCCAGATATTGCCTGTTCAAAGAGGACTTGACCGGCACCAGGAAAAATGAACGGCGACTATCAAAACTTTCACCAACTGTTTGAATCCGCCAGATCTGTTTCCATCGTCAGAAACTGTCAATCACGTCTCATAAACCGTTAATGCCCAGCTCTTGCTACGCTCGGGCCCACGCTGTTCCTTGAAGTTTTCAGAAACGCTTAGTTATAACGGACGAAAAAACCAAAACACCGATTGGCCGCTTGATATTTCTTTATTGTTACACCAACATATAAAAGGAATAAGCGAACTAAGGTCTGTGAACAAATATTACAATAATAAATCATAAGATTACTTCTGACGATGTTTCACTCTTGTTTCTGAACAGCGACCGATGAGACGATGACTGTCGTATTGATGCCTCCGCGAAAATTGGGGAAGTTGATTTTAAGCAAACAACCAAGAATTGATCGTTCAATCTTCAACTCCATTGACAGACGGCGTGAGGCCCAGCGTAGCAAGAGCTGGGCATCAACGGTTTTTGAGACTTGACTGGCAGTTTCTGACAGTTGGATAGTCTCCGTCCCTCTTTCTTGGTGCCGGCTAAGTCTTCTTTGAACAAGCGTTATTTGGAACTCTCTGGAATTTTTGGTCAAGTTCAATGATGCCTGGTTCAAAGAAGGGACAGAAAGTCCTGGAAGGAAACAGGAAAGTAAGTCATGTTGACTTGTTTGTTACATGCAACGATGTGTTTGATGTTAAGCATGATATGTTTGATGTTAATGTTTCGCCGGCTAGGGATAATAGGAATATCAGGCTTCCTAAGTACGAACCTCGGTGTTTCGACGGAAACCCAGTTGACCATTTGCAGTTTGTAAAGGAGTTTGAAATCAT